CGGGGGGGGGGGGGGGGGGGGGGGGGGGGGGTTGCTGTCTGTGAGTGAGTGAGGTAACTTGCTTCGTCCGTGTGTGTGTACCAATGCGCAGATGACTGCCTGACAGTAGCAGAGTAGCCCCCGCCAGATGGGCCGGGGATACTTGCGGAAAAACAGCAGCAGATAAAACCACAACAAATAACCGACCCTGAGCAGACAGACACACAAGCACCTCCCTCTCTCTCTCTCTCCCTCTCTCCCCCCCTCCCTCCCTCCCTCCGTCTGTCTAACCTAATAAGGCTCGTATGTCTGACGGGCGTCGCATCGCCCCCAGTGTGTGACCTCGAGAGCAGGGGGAAGAGTATCAGTAGGATCACCAGCACGGTGACCTTGTCGGAATACAGCACGAAGAGCAGGAACAGTCGGCTGACGCCCTTCTTGACCCAGCCCCAGCCCTTGCGCAAGGTCTCCTTCCACGCAGAGGCACGGGCGTCGAGACGCTGGGTTATCGACCTGCAGACAAAGGGAGACAGAGGAGAGAGAGAGTGGATGTCTGTGTCTGTGTGTGCGGTTGGTGTGCCGGTGTGTGTGTGTGTCTGTGTCCTGCCTGTGTTGGAACTGTGGCGATGAATCGTCGTCTCTATCTGGCTGGTCGTTCTCGTTGTAGCTGTCCGGCACGGCGCCATGCTGGCCAATCTCACCTCGCTCGGCGTACTGACACACACACACAGCCGGCCAACACACACAGAAAGAGGTGGGTGTCCGTGTGCTGTTCTAAACACACACGCACAGAGACGTACGTGCTGCGCTTTGAAGCCGGATGGCGGGAGAGACGCAGAGATGTGGGGGAGGGTGCTGGGGGGACTCACTTGTACCTGCACCCACTCAGACAGACAGACACATGGAGTAGGGAACCTCTCTCTCTCTCTCTCTCTCTGTGTGTGTGTGTGTGTGTGTGTATGTGTCTTCTTCCACACCCTTACGGACCTCTATGTGTGGCGGCACGGTGCCGGGTTCGCTGGCAGGGAAGAGTGTGCTGGAGATCTCTGACTCGTCCATCGACTGCTGCGGCAAGTAGGAGGGCATACCCTACACACCCACACACACACACACACACACAGAGAGAGAGAGAGAGAGGCATTCTGTTTGATACACACACATACACACACATACACACAAGACACGCACCTGTTCCAGATCCCTCTCTGTCTCGTGCCGTGACCCCTCCTCGCCCCCCTCTCTCTGCTGCTGCTGTTGCCCCTGCTGCTGCTGCTGCTGTTCTTCACCCTCTTTGCGAACCGACTGAACCCATCCCACAACGGCCAGGCAGGATAGCAGCACCAAAGTGATGGCCAAGATCCACAACCGGCCCCACGCACTGTCCGACGCACTCGCCAACGGAGGAAGGCCACTCTGAAGGACAGAACCGAACACGCACGCACAGAGAGAGCGCGATGGAGCCCAGAAGGGGGTGTGGGTGTGGGTGAGGGGCTGCGTACGTCGGCAGAGTTGCCGGCACTGGCTGCCGGCGAGGAGGGCAGGTTGAGCAGGTCCCAGAGGCCGACCTTCTCGATGGCCGTGTAGGTGAGGGGGATGTTGGACGGCTTGGACGAGGAGGCGTCCAGCCACGGGCCGCGGACATTGAACACTGACACACACACACACACACACACACAGGGGGTCACTCTCTCTCTCTCTCTCTGTGTGTGTGCGTGTGTCTGTGTGTGTTTGGCCTACGGTATTGCGTCATGTAGAAGAGGGTGGCGTAGATAAACACCGGCTTGACAGTGTACTTGTTGCTGGTGATGCCGAAGGCCTCGATCATCAGCAGCGCGGCGAAGGCCGTCGCCAGCAGCACAAACGACATCAGCGATGGGTATAGCAAAGACCACACCAGCAGAGAGGCAACAAACAACAGACCTGCACCAACACACACACACAGAGGGAGAGAGAGAGTGTGTGTGTGTGTGCACAGCCACAGCCACACCCACACACAACACAACAGGACACGACACACAGGTGCGGTGCCTACAGACCGGTGTAGTTGGTGAGTACTGCGAAGAACACCCAGTGCAGCAGCCGCCCAAACACGCTCCTTGCCTCGTGGTGCCCCAGCACCACACTCGCCAGATCACCAGCCGTCACCGTCCGGTCGCTGAACGTCATCATCCCCGACCCAGCACTGGTGGCCCACTGATACCCACCACCACCACTGGCTGCTGCCGCAGCAGCAGCAGCAGGGGGCTCGTTGCCATTTTCCGTGGCCTCGTCGCCGCCGTTGGCATCGTCATTGCTCTCTTCTTCCTCTTCGTCTTCGTCTTCGTCTTCTTGTCGTTCGCTCGTCCGCTCCTTCATGGCCGGCAGCCAGTGGGACAGCAGCACCACCAGCAGCAGGTTGACGCAGTACTGGCCGAAGACGAACAGACCCGCGTCGCGCTGCTCTGTCAGCGCCTCACCAGATGCTGCCGGTGTTGACGAGAGGACCATGGCCTCTGCAGAGGGAAACACGCCGATAAAGCTGGCGACTGACGGCGTCAGGCTCGGCGAGACGAACGAGAAGGTGCACAGGAAGTGCAGGACGATCACGGCGTTCGAGCAGCCGTGCAGGGCGTAGGCCATCGGGGTCAGCGGGAAAGGGTCCTTATAGGCGAAGGCAGTCCGCACCAGGACGATCAGCACCGTGAGGGCGTAGGGCAGCGCCAGCACATTGGGCGAGAGCACGATGTAGACGTAAAGGATAACCATCACCACAAACCGTTTCGTCACGCTGAGCTGCGATGCCGCCTGTGGCTGGAGGGCCGTGAAGCTGGTGTAGCTGGAGTCCCCCTCGCTGCGCATGGTCATGCTCCTCGCAGCCCGCCTCCTCCGTACCACCACCACACACACCCAGCACACCGACAGTATCAGGAAAATCGCGTCAGGCACCACAAACCGCACCACGGCCAGCACCTCGCTCGTACTTGGAAAGGGGCCGATCCCAATGGTCTTGACCCACTCAGGCCCTGCCCCTTCGCCAGTGGCGCCAATCGCCCCACAAGCAATCACCTTAGCAAGGACGATGCACGAGCTGACGGCCAGGGCGGCCACTGATGCGGTCCAGTGGCGCGACGGCGGGAGGAGGAGGGAGAGGTTGATGGTGAGGAGGGCCGTGAGGAAGGTCAGCAGGGAGGGGAGGGAGGGGAGGGTGGCCAGCAGCGAGCATGTCAGGATCAGCACAGGGAACAGCGCGCCGAGAAACCGGCTGGCCGTTGTCAGCATCCTCATGAGTGACAATGTGCTTGTGACTGTGCCGATACCTGAGAAACACACATACACACACCACACATACGCGCACACATCACATCGGCGAGTGCTTCATTCTGCCTGTCCTCTCGATGACAGCATGAAACCCATCAAAGAGCGTGCAGATCATGCAGCGTACCTGATCTGTCATGCAGCCATCACGGCGGAACACCCGGACACCTGCCGATGAGTGATCTTCACGCACACTCGACAGATTCTCGTTTTCAAAGAGCACACCTCCCTCGCGCACCCAGATGCTTCGAAACGTGGATGCCCGGATACAGAACTCAGAACCACGGGTGATCTCGCCATTTCTGAGCTCGCAGAGGAGGATTCTCTTCCCTTCCTGAAATGGCTGCGCGGCCTCAGCCAGGTGTCCTTTACCGTGTAGACGATGACCCTGGTGTGCGGCGAGGCGGTGATCTGGAGAGATACGGCTATCAGCGGACAGCCCTGGAAGACCACGTCCGGTTCGGCTCCCAGCAGCGCAGCACATGGATCTCCACCAGCAAGTCCCCCTCTGCCGCACTCTACTACGGCCTGCGCGACGAGAACATCCGCGACAAAACGCTGCTCGTCATCCGCCCGGACGATGGCAATCGAGGCCACGACGTGAGCGGCCGCCTCCCTGACCAGAGGGCCCACAACTTTGCAGATGCGAGCGAGGAGGTGGTGTTCGACTCGTGCATCCCCGCCCAGTGCATCGTGGACAGGGTGCCGCTGAGCGAGCTGCTGGACGAGTTGGACATTGACGAGGGCGACGCGCGGGATATGGCGCAGTCATTGGGCGTCAGGGACTTTCGTGAGGCCATGGAGGGGTATTACCAGGTCGAGGGGCGCATGGACGAGCTGTACGCGACCGGGAGGCCGGTGCACTCATCGACGGCCGGTAAGCAGAGAATCACATAGAGAGAGGGATCATGTGGCGCGGATGAACTGGTGCGCCCATTTCCATTCACTGGTGCGCACATTTCCATTTTCTCTCTCTCTCTCTCTCTGTGTGTGTCTCTGTGTGTGTGTGTGTGTGTGATAGGGGATGGTGGGTACGACGAGCCCAGCTACGATTGGGCGGATCCGCCGGATGGCGCAGAGTCTCCTGTGTACCGTGTTGGCGGGTTTACCGTCTTAGATGACGAGCCAGATGACACATATGGTGGGCGAACAAACACAGGACGGGCCATCCATGCATCCATCCATCCATCCGTCCATCCATCTGTGCGTGTATGTATGCAGAGAATGATTACGAGAACGAGGTTGCTCATACTGGCGGGCTGTGGATGGTGGATGACGACCAGGACCCAGCGGCGAACGGCCCGTACGGTGAGACAGACGAGAGAAGACTGATGCACTCATCAACACACGGATATATACACCACAACTGCTTTCCTGCTTTCGCTTTCTGTGGCGTACCAGCAGATGACGAGCCGTCTTATGTGGGGCACATTGGCGGGTTCTACATCGTCGACGAGCAGCCCGCTGAGGCTCTCTCGGCTGGCCGATCGTATGGAGACCAAGATAGCGAGGATGACGAGGGGGAGGAGAGCGAAGTCAATAGCGGCTCGCATGACGATGGATATGGCTCGTACGAAGGTAAAGGGGAAGCGAGTCCCCTCACCACCGACATCACCCTCACTGTCTCTCTTTTGCTCCCGTCTCTCGCCTGGTGCCTGCAGTAGTTGAGGAGCACGTCGATCAGTCAGATGCCGCAGCGGCTGCAGCCGATGGTGCGGAGGAGGGCGGTGGCGACCCAGAATACGACTACGGGGGCAACGATGGCGATGCCTATGGGGCGGCTGACGTACGCTTGAATGACACGAAGATTGTGGATTGCGTGGGCTGGTTGATGTGTGGTGTGGTGTGTCGCAGGATGGAGGATATTCGGATGGCTATGGATGGGGCTCCGAAGGTGGCGACTCTGACTGGAGCGCATGACGCGTGACGCGATGCACCCACCAGTAGAGGAGAGAGAAGAGAGAGCTTTGCAGTCTGCTTAGTCTGCTTAGCTGTGTGTAGTGTCTGTAGAACTGCTGAAGTTGGTGTCCATAGTGTCCATAAGAGAGCGTTGAACAGATCACACACGTCACTGAAGAGTGAGTGAGACATAACGTCAAGGAGAGAGACAAGGCATGCGGAATATAAAATGCAGACAGCGATCGTCACATCCATCCATCCATCGACCCGTCCCCATCCGTGTGTGCGTGTGGTGGTCGGCTGGTTGGTTATCGTGTGTGCGTTGCTCTGACCCTGCGTCTCTACTGCACCCATGCATGGTCAGCAGAGAAACACCCCACAGATATAAAATGTAGTCAGCGATGTCTCCCTCTCTCTGTCTCTTGCGACCCGTACTCACCACTCCGCAGCAGCCGTCCGGGACGCTTCGGACCTACCACGCTTCTGACCCCGGTTGTGGTTGTGGTTGTGGGTGGATTTGGCTGTCCTGTGGTGTGGGTGGATGAGAAGCTCAGCGGGACACCAGTTCGCGGCCTCAACGGACCAGACAGCGGAGACGCCTGCCTGCCGGCCCTTGACGCGCGTGAACCCTGCAGCTGTTCTCACGTCGAGGAGGATGTTGTCGAGATGCCGGTACTCTCTCCCTCTCTCCCTCATCCCTCTCTCCCCAGATTGTGAAAACACACCCAGGCCATCCATCCATATCTCTACTTTGAAAAAAACCCGCTGCCATTGTATGTAAGTGAGATAGATGTGTGCGATGGGAGGGGCTGTGCGTGTGTGGGTGTGTGAGAGACTGCTCTGTGGGTGCAAAAAAGATACGGACGCCCACCCAAGAAAAAAGCCATAATACACATAAGACCAGCCAGGCCATCATGAACCCAAAAACACACCACAGTTACACATATTAGCAGCAGGACAGACGAAATACAACACTCGCGCTAAAATGAAATGGGACTTGACCTATGTGTAATCGTCGAAGCAGACGCAGCAGACACAGCAGACGGGCGGACAGACGGTGGTGGTGACTCGGAAAAAAAAAAATCGGTGACTGCCCCCCCGCCCCTCCTTAGGCATCTGTGAGTGAGGGTGAGGTGGGTGCTGCTCACAGCCGGGGCTGTGAGCAGCAGGCAAAGTATCGCCGCCACCCCGACACCTCCGCCAACCGCACCCACTGCGACACTCTGTGCCGCTGCGCCACCGCCGCCGGCAGGAAGAGGAGCTCCCTCCAGCTGCCCCAGCCGCTGCCCTCCCGCACCACCCAGCCCCCCTGCACTGCGACCTCGCCGTGGGGGGCGGTAAAGGTGAACTCCACCGCCTCCCACGCCACCCGCTCCCACTCCACCCCCACCGGCTGGGCGGGAGGAGGGTATGTGGCCGTGGGCGACGGCGGCATGGGCTTGCCTTGGACGGCATCGAGGTGCGGTGGTGGCTGGACGGTATATGGGGGCGGGGCCGGCTCCCTCCTCGAACTGCTCGTAGTGCCGCTGCCGCTCCCGGTCGCACAGTGCGGCGAGTCCGGGAGGGGTGGGGGGCGGCTGCCAGCCGGGCGGCAGCGGCAGCATGCGGGCGTTGGCGGCCTCCAGCGCGTCGTCCATGGCGAACTCCCCCGGCCATCGGTTCGCTGATATCATTGGAGCAGACACAGTGACAAAGTCAGTCGTTGCCCAATCGTGTGTATCGGTGTGTGTATCGGTGTGTGTGGGTCGTACGGCTGGTGGGCGGGCTCAGGCGCGACAGCGGGGTGCCAGGGATGACCACCGGGGTGCTGGTCGCAGCAGGACAGACGAAATCAAACACACGCGCTAGTAGCGGCGCTACCATGAAATGGGACTTGACCTGCTCACCCTCATAAAATCGATCGAAGCAGCACAGCAGACGGGCGAGCATCGGCGTCTTGGGGGCCATCTTCTTGATAGACCCAACTTGCGATAGTCGTCCCTGAACTCCCTCCCCCACTGACATACACAATGGGCCTGCACACATATACAGCAACAACACACACGCAAGACAATGCACCCCACGCACACACAGACAGAGGCAAGGCGGAAAGGCGTACCTCGTCGACACACACTAGTTTGAGCTTCCCTGCGTCGTAGAGCTCCTTCAGCACGTCTGCACGGCCATCTGACCAGCTTCTTGGGCGTCACAATTCCTTTGTTTTCGTCGGTCAAAATGGTCAGAGAGTCGATCTTCTGGCGGACGGCGTTGATCTCTTGTTGCTGCATCATGACCACACGTGGCCGGTTAATGAATGGCACCGCCATGAAAGGCGTGTGGAGGAAGAAGGCCGAGAGAGGGAGGAGGGCGCCTGGCAGGCAAGAAAACGGAACAAACAGGGGCATGGCGAGGCGAAAAGCGTCTTTGCAGGAGCGGGACGCGCGAAGGGCGTCTCGCGAGAATTCTCGACGGAAAATCTCGACTTCTTTTGCGAGCTTCATGGCTCCGGCAGCCTGGGGCGTTTTCGCTTGTGTGTTCAAGATGGCGAAAAGCAGCGTCCAGTTGCGGGTGTATGACCTCAGCCAGTGCATGTAAGCCGCACATGAGAGGAGAGCGGCGCCTCGCCACACAAACACCGCTGTTCACCCATGTCAATAGGCTCATTGACTCATCGATTGAGTGATTTGCTCGTCGGACATTCGCTGCCCTCTCAGCGGTAAGCAAATGCACGAGAGATCACAGACGTACAAAGCACACACTCATTGCGTCGTGGTGCGATGGTCTTCAGACATTGCTTGAGGTTCCCGTTAGCATAGCCGCAGCGGGCGGCATGAGCGGCCCATCAGCATCGGCATCAGCTGCCGCAGGTGGGCTGACAGAACTGACTGAGCGAGGGCGGGGAGGAATTCTCATGTGTGGCGTGGTTTGGGTGTTGGCCAGGCGGTGGTGGATATAGCAATATCTTTGGGTTCATCAATCATAGCGGCACCCAAGGAGATGAGCAGTCGGTGAGCCATGATGTGCAGACACACAGACATGCAAAGACCGTCATGTTTCTGTCTGCTTCTCATGATCATCTCGTGGTGTCGTGTGCCCTTGCAGAGGTTCTGTGCTTCGTTTGGGCGGCTGCTTACCCTGCATGAGCACTTCATTGCGCTGCAGACGCAGGTGAGAAGCCATGCACCCAGGTGGTGGTGGGTGACGTGACATGTGTGTCGTGTGTGCGGTGTGTGCAGATGGGCGATACGATCAGACATTTAGCTGCGAAGGTCAGTGAGTCGACGACTGCGTCTGAACACTCACAATGTGTCTTCCGTTCCTATGTGTGTGGTCTGTGTGTGCAGGGCTCTGTTTGTGGGAGGCGTCTGGCGATGCTCGAGAGGGCCACTGCAGACATCTCCGACGCACTCGGCCCCCTGAAGGACGGACTCAGAGGACTCAATGGCGTGGCACTGGTACACTTCGACTAATGGATAAGTGTGTGTGTCGTCTCCTGACTGTGTTGGTGTGCGTGCGTGTGTATGTGTGTGGTTTAGCTGGAAGGCCATTCCAAGACCTTCGCCCTGGTCACGCCAGACGATGAGGAGGCCAATGCCGTCGCTGAGAAAACCACAGAGACCACTCAAACAAAGAAGAAGGTACGGCTGCTGCACCAAGTCGCCATCACCATGCCGGCCAATGTGTGTGTGGTGTGATGTGTGTGCAGGTTGAGGTCGATGCGAAGCGCCGCCGTATTGACGCGCCGCCCGTAGAGCCGTCTGGTGCTGCCGACCCGCCCTTCCTACCCGGGCTGCCCGACATTCCCACCGATGTCATGGGCGGCACCCTGCTGCCCTTCATCAGCGGCCACCGTGACGATCCCGCCACCCTCACCCCACACAACACAATCGCCCTCTGCCGCACATCCGAGGCGGTCAGCAGCACAGTCGCGGCCGCCCTGGTCGCCGACATCGACAGCATCATTCGCCGCGACGGCCTCACAGGCGTCATCGGCTACGCCCCACTGCGCCGGTCGACCGGCGTCCGTCGGCCATTCCGGCTGATCCGCCTCCACTACCTGATGGTGACGGGGGGCGACTGGACGGGCAACGTGCCGCTGCTGCGGATCGCCGAGAGCTGTGGACGAGTGCAGCAGCTGCCCATCCAGCTGAGGAAAAACGACCTGCGGCGTGCGGGCAGCAAGGCCGTCATCGACAGCCGGCCGCCCAGCATGAGGCAATACGCCCTCTTCAGCCACCGACTGGGCAATTGGATGCAGCTGAGGCGTACGGCCAACGGGCGGGACAGGCTGGACCGGTATGTGGTGACGGTGCACACAAAGCAGACGGTTCCGGTGAGGTATCGAGATCGCTTCGATGCCGCCGATCCCCCGTGCCATTGTAAGATGGGAGGGCAAAGCCACAGGAGAGGCAACTTGACCTGGATGGTGTCTGCCGCTGTGTGTCTGTGTGTCTGCAGACGATGCTCTCGAGTGTGGCAGCTTCCGTGGGTTGGTCATCAACAGGTATGCAGCGACTCAAATGAGAGAACACACCACAGCAATGCGTCGAGTTGTCTGCCTTTTCGCTCCCTGCTCTTTCAGGTTGGCATTGCTGTCGTCGCGTTTGGTGTCGGATCGGTCCTACAGTCCGTCCTCTGCCGAGTATCGTCGCATCTGTGCCCTGGTGGACCAGGAGCCGCCCCTGTGGGACGGCTGCCGCACCATCGACTACCACTACAACACTATCGGCCCCTCATACCGACTCGTCATACTGTGTGGCGAGGAGGAGGGCGACGACTTCGCGGCATCCATCAGGATGATCAAGTGGCCTGATGGGCTGACATACATCGACCTCCGCACCACCGAGGCGCCCCAGCCGGGCGGCAGTGGTCCTGCTGCCTTCTCGCGGACAGTGGCCAAGGCCCGCAACAAGATGGACGGCCCCGCCCTGGCGCTGCCGTCAGCCATCTGACGGAGGTCGGATGACACGACATATGGGGGAGGAGGTATCAGTGCAACCTTGGTGTATGTCTGCTCTCCCCTCCCTCTCCTTGTTTGCTGTGCGTCAGGCACCACACCGTCTGTCTGTCTGTCTGTCTGTGCTGAGAGGCGTCGCGAGCCGGCTGTCCGACGGGGGGGACGGTAGCTGTCTGTTGACCGACTGGGAGGGTAGTGGGGGTGGCGAGCTGAGTTGGCGATGGGTTGACAGATGGATCAGTGCTGACTTTGATGGATGGATTGATAGCTGACGCGTGTGTGCTGTTTTTCAATTCTCGCTTGACCCTTACACACCCTTGGCCACGATCACGCAGTCACACAAAGTCTTGTGGTTCTCTCATCCCGCTGTCCACCCACTGGCAACCAACCAATCACATGTATACAAACAAACCCGCGCGCCGCACCCCCGAATCCCGCCATCCCACCCACTGTGTCTGCCTGTCTGTGACTCATTTATTTCGTCACAGAGAGCACCACCGAGCAGGATGTCCGCGGCCGGATGGTCACGTGCAGCGGCAGGGCGTAGGACGGCGGGGGCGACGTTGCTGTGAGCAGATCCCCTACCGGCGTTGAGAGCCTGTTCCAGCGCGCTCTCAGCCTTATCCCACAGCTCAGTATCCCCTGTGGATCAACAGGGAACAGAAGACAGTGCAGCCATTGATCGCCTCTCTTTCTACAAGAAGTCGAAGCCAAAGCGCTTGTAGACGAAGAGGACAAAAAGTCCAACTCAGCCACACACACACATGATTGTTTCTGAACGCTTCTCTCTCTGTCTTGTTTGTGTGTTTCTTGTTGTGCGTGCGACGATTTGGCCGGGTGGCGTCGTCCTGCTGTTTTCAAGCGGCGGACGCGCGTGAGGCCGCGGAGGGCTCCACTCATCTCGTTGCGGTGCCACACACCGAAGTCCGACCGCGCACACAACAAGGTAACACGCCACACATCAGGCAGATTGGGAGTTGCTCGTCGTACGACGGTGCCATCTTCTGGAACATAACACAGTGCCCAGACACACACACACGCCCCAGCCAATTAACACACACACAAATCGACATGCCTCTCGTGTGTGTGCGTACCCTTTCGCAGTCTCTCGACTTTGTGACGGCGATCTCCACACGCAAATCGAGATTACCCTCACCAAAGGGCAGCTGACCGCCCCCACCCACAGCCAACTGACACCACACACACAGGCGCACCCCATGTGTGTCTGTGTGTGTGCGCTTCTGTCGTGCATTTCACTAGTCCACCTGGCAGGTGCGTGTTTCGCCAGAGCCCACGCCCTCTGCAGTGGCCAAATACACCTGCAGACACACACACAAAGGCAACCAAACCGGACGGCCGTGTCAGTTCTGCGCTGGTCTGATTCATCCCACATGTGTGTGTGCGTGTCTGTGTGGTGTTGCCCTCATCTCTGTGACGGCAGCACCGCCTGTAGGCCGGAGCAGCCACCAACACGCCAACCAAGCACAATGATGAAGAAAATCTCATTACCACGGCGTGCCGGAGAAAGATCTCGCCGGACGACCACTCGGGGCTTCAGTCCAGCACCGGCAGAGCATCAGAACTTTGGAATCGACACTCTTCCCAGCGAGCTTGCGATCGTGCAAGCTGCAAGTTGCTTGCAAACGGAAACAGGCAAACCACGGGCGCTGCAGATGAGCCAAGAAGGCAAGAACTTGCTGTGGCGAATTTCCACTGAACGCCTCATAGGTGGAAGGCGGCGGGGTCGAACCCACATTGTACGAGGGCGGCGGGTTTAACCCAGAGCCTTTCGGGCTCCCCCTGTCAGTTGAGCTACACCTCCCTGACGCTACGGGTGTGATCCATTATCCTTGACCCGTCAAGACGTCGTGGTAGATCTTAGCATCTCGCCTCTTAAACTAATACCTAGTATGCAGGTGAGCCGAGCACTCACTCCTAAGTTGAGCCCCTCCAGTCATTCTCATGCTCTGCGGATGTGGTGTGTGCAGGATGGCGGGCACGCCGATAGGCACGCCAGGCACGTCTTTTCGTTTGATCTATCGGTCGGGACGGCGGCCAACCAACGAGGGAGAGGTAAGACCACCAGGAAGCCAAATTCGATGCATTCGACAATGATGGATCTTCCCCATCGCAGGC